CCAGAGGCCCCAGCAGCGTCAGACCTCCCCTCGCCAGCACCTCCAGAACCAGCAGGACCAACGCCTCCAAGACTGTCAGCACCAGGGTCGTCAGCTCCAGAAGCTCCAGTACCTCCAGCTCCAGAGTCCCCAGCCTCACTAGCTCCAGCCTCAGTGCTCCCAGAACAACCAGCCCCGGCAGCTCCAGTACCTCCAGGTTGAGCACCTCCAGGACGAGCAGCTCCAGAACCTCCAACTCCAGCAGGGCCACGAGGACGGCGAAAGCGCCGGACGTACCAGTCACGAAGCTGCTGCTGTGTGAGAGGCTCCCGGAGAGACGGCTCAGCACCCCGAACCGGAGCACCCCCAGACGCAGCAACCCCAGGCTCCGTAGGCTCAGTCGCAGCACCCCCAGGCTCAGTACCCTCAGGCGCAGCACCCCCAGGCTCAGCACCCCCAGGCTCAGCACCCCCAGGCTCAGCACCCCCAGGCTCCGTACCCCCAGGCTCAGTACCCCTAGTCGCAGTACCCCCAGGCTCAGCACCCCCAGGCTCCGTACGCTCAGGCACCGTACCCTCAGCTCCAGCACCCTCAGTCCCAGCACCCGCAGCCCCAGCACCCCCAGGCCCAGCACCCCCAGGCTCAGCACCCCCAGGCTCAGCACTCCCAGCAGCACCACCCGCAGCAGCACCTGAGTCACCTGTGACCTCGACAGGCTCAGCGACGGGAGGAGGGTCTACCTGAGAGACACCTGAAGGAGCAGGACCCTGAGGGGGAAGGGGGTCTACCGGAGGGGGACCAGGAGCGAGGAAAAGCGGCGGGGGAGGGAGGGGGGCAGTGCGGTAGGGGAAGAGACGGTAAAAAGGGACCGACTCGTCAAAGGTGACGTCCTGAGAGGCGAAGACCCGGCGCGAGGTGGGGTGGTAAAACTGCCAGCCAGGCGCGTCAGGGACAAAGCCAAGGAAGACACAGGGAAGCGTGCGGGAGGAGAGCTTGTCCGCGGACGTATCGCGGACAAGGGCACGAGCACCCCACACCCGGAAGCGCGACGCATCGCCAACCTCCCCCGTCCAACGCAGTGCAGGAAAGGTCTCCGGCAAGGAGACACGGGGCCAGAGGTTGAGCTGATGCGCGGCGTACCGGACACAGAAAATGGGGAGCCGCCGCATGGACCAAGGAGGTACGAGCGACCTCCATGACCAGGCCAATGCGGCGCTCAGCAACCCCATTCTGCTGTGGGGAGTCCGGAAGCGTGAAGGTCTGCTCAATGCCCTCCGCCTGACAGAAGGTCCTCAGGAGATCGGAGGAGAACTAACCACCTCTGTCAGAGTGCAGACGCAGGACAGGAAGATCTGTCCGGAAACGGCGGCGGAGCTGGAGACGAACTGTGCGGATCCAAGGGATCAGAACAGCAGGGACCTCACCCTTGGTGCGCAAGGGGAAGACCGTGGTGTAACGCGAGTAGTCGTCGACAACCAGCAAAAAGTACCGCTCACCGCCCTGGCCACGAACGCGGGCTGGGCCCCACACGTCCAGGTGGAGGGTCTGCAGAGGAGCCTCTGTCGGGGGGAACGAGGAGGAGTGAGGAGCGGCGCGCTGCCGCCCCTCGACGCAAGGAAGGCAAGGCGGCGCAGGCAAGGCAGGGAGGGGAGGGAGGGACCTGGGAAGACCAGACACAAGGTGGCGACGGTGCATGCCACGGAGGCGTGGCAAGGAGGGGTGACCCAGGCGGTGGTGCCAGAGAAGAGTCTGGTGTGACAGGGAACGACACTCACAGGCGTGGGCTACCAGACCTGACGCGGACACCTGACCGACAGCAGCGACCTGAGGAGACACAGTGGTCAGTGTGTAGAGACTCGACCCCGGCTGACGGGTAAACGTAGCCAGGTGACGGCCGGTCCTGGAGCACGTGAGGATCGCCACACGCTGTCCTCCAGGGGTAAAGGTGTCAACCCACTGATCCTGGATGACAGCGTTGCTCACCAGGTTCGTCGAGAACGAGGGGAGGTGGAAACCCGACAACGAGCCAGACGGAACCGCCGGACACGGGAGCACAGTGGTGGACCGTGCAAGGACTGGGCCCCCCGAGGGGTCAGCCAGGGAGACTGGGACCGGTGCAGGGAGCGGAGTGAGCTCAGTACTGTCTCGAAAGAAACAGCGGGAAGCACCTGAGTCAAGAGTGAAGGTGTGCAAGGCCTCAGCAGGTGCAGTACCTGAGAGAGCAGTCTCTGTGGGTGCTGTACCTGAGAGAGCAGACTCACTAGCAGCAGGGACAGTATGGGAGGGAGCAGCCACAGAGGGCACAGTACCAGAGAGAGCAGACTCACTAGTACCTAGGGCAGTGGGCTCGATACCTGGGTCAGGCGGCACACACAAGTAACAGTCTCCCTCGGCACTAACAGTCAATGCATACATGGCAGCAATAATAGCATCATAGTCAAGAGCAAAGATGTCAACACCAGCCCTCATCAGATCAGCCCAGCGGGGGCGCTCAACATCCTCGCCCATCTCCTCACGCCAAGCGTCGTCAAGGCGGGAGAAGCAGCGGTACTGGGTGTGGAACTTCCCACACTTCTGCCCCTTGCGATCACCTGTGCGAATGACATAGGAACAGCGGCCACTGCCCCCCGACGTCCCACGCTGAGCAAGCCACTCACGAAGCTGCTGGGTCGTCTGGGGACGCTGCTGCTGCTGGGAGCTCTGGCCCGAGCCGGTGCCTCCACTCCGACCTCCACCGCCGCCACCGCCACCGCCGCCGCCACCGCCACCGCCGCCACTGCCACCGCCGCCACCGCCGCCGCCACCGCTCCCTCCGCCGCCTCCGCCTCCGTTGCCAACCCCACTCCCACCAGCACTCCCGCCACCGCTCCCTCCAGCACCGCCTCCCCCCCCACCTCCCCCACCCCCTCCCCCCCCAGCGCCACCCCCGCCACCCTTGCCCCCCTTGCCCTTGCCGGTGCGGCGCCTCCCACCAGGAGCAGAAGCAGCGCCAGCAGACTCAGCACCAAGGAAGTCAACAGCAGCAGCAGTAGCGTAGGAGGGAGCGAGGGGAGAGGGAGAGCACCCCTCAAAGATGGGGGTGCGAGGAGCGCCGCGAGCAGCACCGACAGCTACAATGCTCTTCTCGGCTGCTAGCAGCTTCTCCTCTAGGAGGGCGACAGTGAGCTCAGTGGGACAGCGAGCAAGGAAATAGTCGCGCACTGAGCTGAGGGTGTCAGGGAGACGGGTGACTATGAAGTGGAGTGTCCAGTACAGTGGAGGGGGGTTCTTAGCGCAGAACTCGGGTGGAAGGGCGGCACGCAGGCGAGTGTCACTAGTGCGGAGGTGCGTAATGAGATCGGCGACTGTAGCAAAGGTGGACAGCTCAGGGAACAGGTAAGGCAGCATGAGGCGGCTAAGCTCGGCTGTGGCAGGTGAGGAGTAGCGAGCAACGACAGCGTCGTACAGGGCCTTAGCGGTTTTGCAGTCGCCAAAATGCTCGAGCTCAGCTAACGGCAGGTGACTGCGAATGGCTAGGCGAGCAGCAGCGTCACGCGTCTGCCAGTGGGAACGGGCACTAAGCTCGGCTGTGGCAGGAGGGGCAGGCGCAGCACCAGATGCGTAATCATAGAGTGACACGTGCTCCTTGCTATCGCTCAGGAGGAACAGCTGCAGGTCATCTAGCCAAGTGGTGAACTGCACAGGGCGGCCCTCAGCATCGAAGGACAGCACGCGGATGGAAGCCATCGCGACAGCACGTCAGAGCAAAGCAAGCAGCCGCAGCAGGGGAAGGCGACTGTGCACGGATAGAGAGCAGCGGGCGAGGCTGGCGCTACGGGCAGGCGGCGCTGCAAGCGGGCAGCGTGGCAGGTAGCGCGGCGGGCAGGCGGCGCTGCAAACGGGCAGCGCGACGGGCGGGCGACGCTGCGAGCGGGCAGCGAGGCGGACGGGCGGCGAAGCGGGCAGCGCGGCGGGCAGGCGGCGCTGCAAGCGGGCAGCGCGGCGGGCGGGCGACGCTGCGAGCGGGCAGCGCGGCGGGCAGGCGGCGCTGCAAGCGGGCAGCGCGGCGGGCGGGCGACGCTGCGAGCGGGCAGCGCGGCGGGCAGGCGGCGCTGCAAGCGGGCAGCGCGGCGGGCGGGCGGGCAGCGTGAGCGGGTAGCGCGGCGGATGGGCGGCGCTACTGGCGGGCAGCGCGGCGGGTGGCGCGGCCGGCGGGCTGCGCGGTGGGTGGGCGCGCGATGGGCAGCGCGGGCGGGTACAGCGCAGCGAGCGGGCAGCGCGACTGGCAGCGTGACGGGCAGCGCGGCTGGCGACGCGCGGCGCGACGGGCAGCGCTACGGGCGGCGCGACGAGCAGCGAGGCGGGCGAGGGCGCTAACGAGGGGCGCTAACGAGGGCGCTAACGAGAGGCGCGCGAGGGCGCTAACGAGGGCGCGCGAGGGCGCTAACGAGAGGCGCGCGAGGGCGCTAACGAGGGCGCGCGAGGGCGCTAACGAGGGCGCGCGAGGGCGCTAACGAGGGTAGGGCACGGGGTAGCGTGGTAACCGCATGCGAGCGGTGGTGGGCCCTAAAAAAAACGGTCGGTAGGTCCTAGGGACCTCCTGCTCTGAATACCATGTCAACAGGACTAGGCAAGAATGAATGCATTGAATGAAACAGTTGGGTACAAGTAGCAAACCCTAGTTGGGGTTGTACCCCATATTGGCTACCCCACTACAGCCTACCAACATATAACACATTACAATTTAACAAGATGCTGGCTCTATCGAATGGTGTGAGGCCTTTGCATATGGTAGCACCACAAACAGATGGGTGGTTGCATCCAGTACCGAAGAAAAAAGTGTGTATCGATGGAGGGACTTGGAAAACCGACAGTACTGGTAAGTTCTGCAGTGCAGCGAGACCTTTTTTGTTGTGGGTAATTGCCCTGGGAACTGGATTCGTTAAAAAAAATGCCAGCACACCGGACAGACCAGAAGTTAAGCAAGACGAGCAGGGCACAACAATGCCCCCCAACAGAATATGTATCTCCACAATCACCAATTAGCGCCTACTACGGTGCTTATCCTTGGATGCGGTGAACTCCCTCTCTGCAATCCATATGACAGGTAAAAATGAGTGCATGTGGAAGTACAAACAATATGAAGACCAAGCAGGAAAAAAGAAACACTCACCTCGTGGGGCAGGTTGCCGACCATGCCCACCACCACGACCACCTGCAGAGAGGAAGATGCAACTTGCATCATTATTGCCGGAAGTAACCAGTGTTAAAAGCAGCAAACAGGCACCACGCTCACGAACAGTTCAAGTTTCAAAATGCAAACCCATGCTTAATTCTTTACATACTATAAGGTTCACGATTACGCCGGCTTTCATCTCGGAACGACCGATCGCGCTCCACGTCACGGTCACCATCCCTGTCCCTGTCCCCATCCCGGTCCCTATCTCTCCGATCCCGATCCTTGCGCTCCCCATCACCACCTCGGTCATCCCTCTCTATCTCCCGCTTGTCTCTGCTCCCATCCTTTCTGTCCCTCTCACGCTCAACATCCCGATTGGAACGCTCTCGCTCCCTCCGCTCCCGCTCCCTCTCACGCTCCCGAGCCCACTCCCGATCCCGCTCCCTGTCCCTCTCTTTCTCCCTCCCACCCTCCACATCCTGCTGCCGCTCCTTCTCCTTGCCGTCCATGCCTGCCTTTCCATACCCCGTCCGCTGCGCTCCCTTCTTCTTTTCCAGATCTCGCTTCAACTGTTCCCTCAGCTTCATCTCTTTCAGCGCCAGCTCTTTGTCCCTTCTCTTGCTCACCAACATTTTCTCCCCGTCCGACTCCGAATCATCCCTTTCTGTGCGCTCTGGGTCCCCACCACCTTCTGTGTCTCTCACATCTCGCTTCCTCTTCACAGCATGGCCCTGCACACCACGGTCACTATCAGAGCTCGAGGATCGCTTGACCACTTTCCGTGGAGAGTCATGCCTTTTGCCCGCCTCTACCGCTGGATCATTTGCAGAGCTTGGCTTTGCGGTGGCAGGAAACCCGGGCTCAACAACAGCTGTAGCCGGCTTGTCAACACCAGGAGCAGGAGCAGGAGCAGGAGCAGGAGCAGGGGCAGTCGCAGGGGCAGGAGCCGGAGCAGGAGCAGCAGCAGCGGCGGCGGCGGCGGCATCAGCATCAATTGGCGCTGGCATAGAATCCGCAGGTGGCAGGGTGGGCGCAGAAACAGGTGCAGAATGCTTCAACACTCCAGGAAGCTCCTGTGTATGGGACGAGTGTCAATTGCACAAGTCAGAATACAGACATAGAAAATTGACAAAAAGGATAACAACAGAGAAAGCGAGAGAGTGTGCGAAAAATGCAGCCATGGACGAAGGAGGGGAGGGCAGAATGCCTGGTGGCTTCTACCTGGGGATCAGGAGGTGGCTCCCATCCTCTCGTTGTGAGCACAAACGGCTTGGCGTCCTTGCCCTTGGCGACCTCAATGTACTGCGCCTTGGGCCTCCTGTACAAATCCGCCAGCGCCCTGCACACCTCGTCAATGCCTTCCTTTGAGGCGTCGAACGCCAGCCACCAGGGGGGGTTCTCTGGAAGCGGAATGCGCGCCCGCCTCGTTGCTGCATAGATCACCCCGCATGCCACAACCTCGCTCTTGAATCGCACACAAAGAACCGTCCGCAAACTGCACGACCGATAAGAGCTGGTGAGAAACAGTACAAAACCCTGAGTGCCCATTGATTCATATCATGATGTGTTAAGAGAGAAGTTGCACCTGTCATTGGCGAGGTTCCAGGCCTCGTGCTTCACAGCATCATCGAGCACGTCGAGCTGTCTGAGGTAGTTGAATATGAACTTGTGGGGGTGCTCCACGTGGCAGATGAACCCCATCTCCTTCAGAATGTGCCTTTCCGTTCGAATCAGCTCCGTGCGCAGGTCCTCATAGTTCTGATAACGGAGTACAATAAGTGTTGTCCTGTTAGTCTACGCACAGTAAACAGGGTATGTAACATACAGCTCCGTGTGCAAGTTCTCATAGTTCTGAAAAAGGAGTAAGTGCTTTCTATTAATCTAGGCCAGTAAACAGGGTATATAGTATATACCATACAGCTCCATTGACAGGGGATAGGGAAGCGAGGTTGCAAGAAAGGAGGGGGGCGAGTGAGCGAGCAAGCGAGGGAGGGAGAAGGGGGGGCGGGGGAACCGGTGGAATTAGTAGGGAAAGTGGGAAGTGGGTTCGTCAGGTAGAAGCGCACCTTTGAGAATTGCTCCAGGGGAGTCAACGGGAGGTCGTCACGCCTTAAGTTAATCCTGTGAAATACGTTCAGCACGTCGCGAATTCGCCGAGGATTTTCCTCCAGCTTCGACGCAAGCCAGACACAGCTCGCAGCAACACCCTGCGCGAATCATGATAAGTTATCTGAATTAACAAATCATGTACACGACAGGCTTCGACGTGGCAAAATGGCTAACGGCTAGGGTTATCATTCCAGGCAGCCGGAATGGCATTATGGACGCAGGTAAGGTGAAAACTCTCACCTTGACATTGAACCGCGTCAGCGACTTCTTGCAATAAAATCGATGAAGAAGGACTTGTCCGGTGGCCATTACAGCCTGAGGCCTGCAGAAGAATGCAAGCCGCAGATGAAGTCAGGGCGAACGAACAAGCAGCGGAAGCTGGCTACGTAACTAACGTCAATCGATGGAGGACGACTTTTCCAGTGGCCATTACAGCCTGAGGCCTGCGAATCAAAGCTAGCATAGGCTAAGAAAAACGAACGAGAAGGGAAGCAGCATAGACTATCGTCGAGCGAGCGAGCTCACAATTTCAAGAGAATTCCGGACTCCTGAATAAGCTCGCAGCCGTATACACGGAGGACAAACTCCGTTTCCTTGTCCACCCCTTCCTTGCGCGACGGCGAGTCATCTATCTGGTCCTTGGTCAGATAGAACGAGTCTATGGTCGTGTAGATCATAGCGCGAACTCGAATGGTCCGCGGAGCGAACGCAAGGAGGAGCCTCTTATAGCGTGATGACTAGAATCTGGATCACGCTGTGAGGAGCTGAAATTATGAGGGGTGCCAATAGCAGCGAGGGGAACACGAGGTGGGATGTGCGAATTGGGTTGCGTAGATACCAGCCCAGATTATTCCAATAACAAAGCTCCCCCGAGTGCTACGGTACTGGCCCAGCCAGATATAGGAAACAATGAAGCAGGTGACTACAACACGTCAGCCCTAATGCAATTCAAAACCCTGTTGTACGTTACATACAGGTTTGTAACAAAAACACTGGTATCAAAACAATGGAGCACAACCGCAGGTGACTACATCATGGTTCAGCGATACAACGGGCAGAGAGACGACAATGAGAACTGGTGTCTGAATTTGCGTGTCTAGCAGGGTGCAAGTGCACTGAGCAGCACAGAGGCTATGTGCATGTGGGGAGGTGGCGAACCACACATGGCCCCACCAGCCATTCGCTGTGCTGGCATCCGTGGAAGCATCAGGAAACATGGAAGAAAGAGGAGCTATATGCTGTGTGCATTCATCATACATTTGCTGCTTCCGGGATGCATGAACCCTGAGGCTTGAGGTTAGGAATCAAGGATCTGGGATGAAGAATGCTTTTTGGCTGGCATGTTGATTTCATGGATGGGATGGCTGCGTTGCTACTTGGCTGATTGTCCGACTGGCTGATTCAGCACTGGCCGCAGCATCTTACCAATTCTGTGCTGCAGTTTCTGTGCGAACCGTACCGTGTCAACCCTGCTTCCTGTGAGTCCCTGCCATCCTCTCTTCTGTGCGAGAGGGGTTGGCCTGTCTCATGCATGCTGCATGCACTGCACGTTCAGTGCCCTGCATTTCCACACTCTCATCCCTCACGGGGTGCCTGGCATGGCACAGCACCTGAAGGAGGACACTCCGTCCTGCTTGGGTGTTTGTGCCCAGGCGCCTTCCAGGCTGCCCACCCCACCCCACCCACCTATTCCACAACATGCAGGCCCATCCCATCCCAGCGCAGCACAGCACAGCACAGCACACTAAAACAAACCTAAGCACACCTAAGGAAACTTGGCACACCTAAGCACAGCTAAGCTAAGCAAAGCACAGCAGTGGTCCGTTTTGAGCTCTTGGTGGTGCACCCACCAGCAAGCGGCAGCCCACAGGTCCTCCACCTCATGCTGCAGGCACTTACGAGGAGATGTTGTCCTCTGGACAGCAATGGGACATGGAAGGAAGGAAGAAAGTGGAGAAGCCACTTAGTATCTGCTGAAGTAAAGATGATCAGACGGCAAAGATTAATTGTGTATTGTATTAATGTCAGATTGCTATTGAAAAAAGAGCATTAAGTGAGAATTGTGCAATAACAAGGTCAGCAATCTCCCATCACACCCACCATGTGGATGACGCAGCAGTGCTGTTGCTGCCACTGCTTCCCCCACGAATGCTGCCAGAAACAGCAATGGGACATGGAGAGGGGATAAGAACAAAGTCGCAACAACAACAGGATACAGGGACGTGGATGAAGGGAGAGGCGGGGAGGTGAGGGCACCATTAAATTATGATACAGAAATATGGGAGGGAGGGCTGAGGAGAATGATGATGGGCAACGAGCAAGGTACTGGATATTAGACAAACATGCAAGCGATGCTAAACAACAGACATATAGAGAGAACTTGGAAGCATAGGGTAGACTGTAAATACCCCTCCATTGCTGCAGCTGCAACCACTGCAGTGGCCGTTGATGCTGCAATTACTGCTGCCACCACCACCACTGCTGCTGCTGCTGCAACTGCAAGTGCTGCTGTCCATGCTGCAGGACAATAGGTGCTGCTGTACGGGTGATGGAAGAGAGGAAAGCAGAGAAGAGGAGAGGGCAGGACGAGGGATTTGAGAGCCGAGCAGAGGGGCATGCACATCAGGCAACAAAGTAGCAAAGACGAAACATGGCGGACAAGACAGAAGGGCACAACAGGGGAATGAGAATGGCGAAGTGACATGCCAGTTGATCTGGTGCACTCACAAGTAATTGTGTGCAGTTGTGAGTGGACAACTCATCCTGCAGTTGTTGCATTCGCTGGTGATCCCTGCGTTCTGCATCCACTTCCCCTTGGAGTGCTGGAGAGAGGGGAGGAAGGATGGAGAGAGACGAGAGGAACTTGAAGAGTGGCGTGAGCAAGGAGAGGAGAAGCAAGTGGATGAGAGGCTGAGGATGTAAAAGAGTATTGACATGCCAGCTGGAAAGAGCATTAACATGCCAGAAGAAATGGTAAATGGCAGCCAGAGACGGGGCTGAGACAAGACGCAACGGAGAATGCATCCGCCCTGCTGCTGCATCCTCACTCTCGGTTACCTCTTGTCTTGGAGAAGCAAGCAACGGATGTTGTTCACAATGCACTCCACGGCTCGGAGCCTGAGAGACACACTCACAGGCATGCACACGCACACGAGGACAGGCACCGCCCCCCCAACACACCCCTACTCTCCCCCTGTCACAGAATCTATTGATATATTCAACACATTCAGTGTCTTGCTAGTTGGGTGTAGAAGGGTGTAGAACTGTGTCATGTAATGTTACCAAAGGGGTTGTTGGGTTTCAAGGGAGTGACGGGAAGTTGGTAGTAGTGGGAATTGCGAAGTACAGCGGGGAGAGCTCAAGGGCCTCGAGGGACAGGGAATTTGCAGTGGCCAATCCAAGGGCAGGGCGACTCGAAGCCAACCCAGTTTGTCGAGGACACTCACGACTCGGGACAGGGCAATAAGTAGCCTAGGCTAGGACATACCAAGCTGTTCTCTCGTTTGTTTGTCTCATATAGTGGTCTAGTGTTACCGTTCTAAAGCTATCTAAGCTAGGTGACTGCGCCACTATGGGCAACCAGCGTGTGGGAGCCGGATCTCTCACAAACGAGAGAAGGGTATTGGCAGCATGGACTGCCACGAGCTTCGCTGGCAGCGAACGTATTCGCGTCGGGAAATTCCGCCGTCGCGACGGATGCGCTCACAGGAGCGGGAACGATCGCCAGGTCGCTCGCCTAAGAGAGAGGCGGATCGGGCGGATCGGATGGCAGCTGGTGACGGACGGCGCGTATGGAGGCGAGACCGATCTGCAGATGAGATTGGCGACGAGACCTCAGCCGTCGAGAAGCGGTCCCTGGGATCTGGCAAAAGGCCAGCGGGGCGCGGGTGAAGGGCATCATGAGGATGCCGACGGAACGGGCTCGCTGATGTTGGCAAACGAGGCCGACGGCGAGGAGGATGATCCAAAGTACGCGGGAGCAGATTGCTCGCCGGACGACATGCGCGAGGGAGGCGAAAGTCGCCGTGGAGAGAAACGCGAAGATCGCGGAAAGGCGACGGGATCAAGCCGCTCAACAGATGAAGTGCGTGGGAGTAGCGCAGGTCGCCGCGGGAGCGATCGCTCTGCTGGCGAAATGCGCGGGAGTGGCGAGAGGCACCGCGGGAGCGCGGATGCGGATCGTTCTGCTGGCGAAATGCGCGGGAATGGCTCGAGGCGCCGCGAGAGCGCGGGTGCAGCTGGTTCGACGGGTGAAATGCGCGGGAATGATGCGAGGCGCCACGGAAGCGCGATAGCAGCAGGTTCGACGGGCGAAATGCGCGGGAATGGAGCAAGGCGCCATGGGAGCGCGGATGCGGGCGGTTCGGCGGGCGTAATGCCTGAGAGAGATGCGAGGCGCCGCGGGGGCGCAGGTGCAAATCGCTCGCCAGGCAGGCTGCGCAGAAGTGATGCAAGGCACGGCGAAGGCAAGGAGGCTAAGCGCGCGCCAGAAGCCAGCCGTGAGGAAGAGAGGAGGCGAGACGTGCAGGCGGGGATGTATGGCTCGCCTGAGCCGAGACGCGGACATGAGCGCAGGAGGCGCATGGCGTTGGGCGGATGGCGATCACCAGAGCAGGGGGGAGAGGAAAGTGAGGACGATCGCGATAGGAGGCGCGCGCAGTGCTCGCCTGCACGGCAGCGGACGGAGGAGAGGGAAGCGCGTGTTAAGGGCAGTGAGTGTTCGCAGTACGCCACGGGTGCGGATGCGAGAGCGCGCCGAGAAGAAATAGAAGAGTATCCGTGCGCGGGAGCAGGGTTGGTGCAGGAACCTGTCGGAGAGGCAAGGAGGAGGCAGGAGAGAGAGAGAAACAGGAGAAGGGGTGAAGAAGAGCGCTGCCTGCGAGAGGTGTTCACAGGGGAGGACCCGGGAAGTGACAAAGGAAGGGGAAGAGAGGATCATGGGCGCCAAGAAGCAGGCGGGCGAGGGAGACGTTGTGAAGAAGATATCCCTGGGAGGAATGAAGGGAAGGGGAAGACGAAAAGGAGAGATGAGGAGCACTACAGAAGGAGGGAGAGGTCGCCTGAAAGGAGGACAGAGAGCGAAGAGGAGTATGAGTATGGTCTGGATCGGTGCCAACACAATGAGAAAGAGCGGGGTAAGAAGGAATTATCCCATAAGGGAAGAGAGAAGAACAAGGGAAGGCACGAGGAGCAGAGGGAAGCTGACATAGAGGTATGGGAGGGTCAGAAAAAGGAAGGGCAGAGAAGGAGGGCTGAGGAGCGGCGTAGGCTACGGGAGATGGCGCTCGAGTACGATACGGACAGCGAGGAAGAAGGGGGTGGCAAACTTGCGCGCCATGGGTCGGGCCAAAGGGAGGGGCACTGGGAAGAATATTCATCCGAAAGGAGGGAGGAGCAGAGGAGCAGGCAGGAGGGCCGGAGAAAGATGGATGAGAGAGAGGAGGGAAGAAGGAGCTTGGGCCCAGAGCGGCATGACAGGTCACCATGGGAGGGCTCTAGGGAAGCAAGGGCAGCAAGAGAAGGCATCGAGCGTGTGTTGTACAGGACAGGAGCACGAAACAGGGGAGTAAGGGAGTGGGTAGGGGAAGGCAGCAGGACAGGATGGGGAGGATCAGGAACATGGGGGACAAGGAGATGGAACGGGGTAGACCCACCACGGGTGGAGGTGCCAGTGCGCTTTACAGGGGAGGCGGGAGCGGAGACAAACCTGAAGAATTACCTGATGCAAATCGGCAATGTGAAGTACCGCTGCGACAGAAGCGGGATGGACCCGATAGAGTTTTTCTTGAGCCTACCAAACACGCTAGGCGGTGAAGCTGAGACGCTATATCGTATGAAGATGAAGGAATGGCTGAGGAGGGCAGAGGAGGATGATGAAGACCCAACCACTCTATTCTTGGAGCGGCTGCGGAGGCAGTTTCCAGGGCACACGGCAGAGAGAATTAGAGAATTTCAGGAATTCAGGCGGGGGAAGACGGAATCGCTACTCACCTATTATGGAAGGCTCACTAATCTAGCAGAGGACGTGGTGTGCACGGACAGTAGCATGTTGATAAGTAAGTTCTTGGGAGGCCTGGATGAAGGGCTGAGTAGTGGGTTGCGTATGCGAGTGTATGAGTTGGGGGCAGACGCTACACTAGAAGAGGTGTTCGAGCTTGCGGAGAGGGTGGAGCTGGCGCAGAGGCGATACGAGGCATACCTGCCAAGGGTCTCAGAGAAGAGGCAGCCCACGTGGGCTACAGCGATGATACCTGAGGACGGGGACAGGGAGGAGCAACGGCAGGAGTGGCGACTGTTAGAATACCTCTATTCAATTTATCCTGCATATTCTAGTTTGCTTGTCTAGAGTTACGCACCCAAACCTGATTTGGGTGTACAACTGGGGTTTACCCTAGTTGTGGTTTGGTTCCAACCTTGGCCAAAATGTTTGGCCCCCAAAAGTTGGGTTAGAGAATTATTGGAGCCCTATGATTATTGGAGGCTCCAATAATTCCTCCAACCCAATTATTGGTGGGGGCCAATAATCTTGGCCACGCTCCCAACCAACCCCACTCTCCTAGCTCAACTATGTATACCCCTGCTTTTCATTCTAAGATCAATCCTTTCAATTTTCAGTCCTCATCCTTTCACAGGATTCTAACATGTTATCAGAGCATTTTGGCTCACGCCCCTTCCGATCCGAGGACCATGTGTCTTGCGTGTACTTCCACGCTTGCTCCGCCTTTCGCGAGACCATCGGCTGCCTTGCGCAAGGCCACCCTCCCGTCTCGTCCAGCAGCCGCGCGATTTTATGGCGATTTCGGCGCCATACGCCCGCCGAATCGCAACCGTCGCGGCCGTCGCGACCAGCAGCCGCGCGGACGCGATTTCGCGGCGATTTCGCCGCCATACGCCCGCCGAATCGCGACCGTCGCGGCCGCCGCGACCAGCAGCCACGCGGACGCGATTTCGCGGCGATTTCGCCGCCATACGCCCGCCGAATCGCGACCGTCGCGACCTTCGCGACCAGCAGCCGCGCGGACGCGATTTCGCGGCGATTTCGCCGCCATACGCCCGCCGAATCGCGACCGTCGCGGCCGTCGCGACCAGCAGCCGCGCGGACGCGATTTCGCGGCGATTTCGCCGCCATACGCCCGCCGAATCGCGACCGTTGCGGCCGTCGTGAATAGCAGCCGCGCGGACGCGATTTTGCAGCGTTTTCGCATCGCCACCGCTGCGCGGCCGTCGCTTCCGCCCTCGCGCCTAACGGCGCCCTGCTACCGTCGCTTCCGCCCTCGCGCTTAACGGCGCTTCCCCCTACGCACTCGCTTCCTCCTCCCTCGGGCCATCCAGCCCTCCTCCCCCTTCCCCCTCGCTTCCTCCTCCTTCGGGCCATCCGGCCCTCCTCCCCCTTCCCCCTAGCTTCCTCCTCCCTCGGGCCATCCAGCCCTCCTCCCACTTCCCCCTCGCTTCCTCCTCCCTCGGGCCATCCGGCCCTCCTCCCCCTTCCCCCTCGCTTCCTCCTCCTTCGGGCCATCCGGCCCTCCTCCCCCTTCCCCCTCGCTTCCTCCTCCTTCGGGCCATCCGGCCCTCCTCCCCCTTCCCCCTCGCTTCCTCCTCCCTCGAGCCATCCAGCCCTCCTCCCCCTTCCCCCTCGCTTCCTCCTCCTTCGGGCCATCCAGCCCTCCTCCCCCTTCCCCCTCGCTTCCTCCTCCTTCGGGCCATCCAGCCCTCCTCCCCCTTCCCCCTCGCTTCCTCCTCCTTCGGGCCATCCAGCCCTCCTCCCCCTTCCCCCTCGCTTCCTCCTCCTTCGGGCCATCCAGCCCTCCTCCCCCTTCCCCCTCGCTTCCTCCTCCTTCGGGCCATCCAGCCCTCCTCCCCCTTCCCCCTCGCTTCCTCCTCCTTCGGGCCATCCAGCCCTCCTCCCCCTTCCCCCTCGCTTCCTCCTCCTTCGGGCCATCCAGCCCTCCCCCCCCCTTCCCCCTCGCTTCCTCCTCCCTCTGGCCATCCAGCCCTCCTCCCCCTCCCCCCTCGCTTCCTCCTCCCTCGGGCCATCCAGCCCTCCTCCCCCTTCCCCCTCGCTTCCTCCTCCTTCGGGCCATCCAGCCCTCCTCCCCCTTCCCCCTCGCTTCCTCCTCCTTCGGGCCATCCAGCCCTCCCCCCCCTTCCCCCTCGCTTCCTCCTCCTTCGGGCCATCCAGCCCTCCTCCCACTTCCCCCTCGCTTCCTCCTCCCTCGGGCCATCCAGCCCTCCTCCCCCTTCCCCCTCGCTTCCTCCTCCTTCGGGCCATCCAGCCCTCCTCCCCCTTCCCCCTCGCTTCCTCCTCCTTCGGGCCATCCAGCCCTCCTCCCCCTTCCCCCTCGCTTCCTCCTCCTTCGGGCCATCCAGCCTTCCTCCCCCTTCCCCCTCGCTTCCTCCTCCTTCGGGCCATCCAGCCCTCCTCCCCCTCCCCCCTCGCTTCCTCCTCCCTCGGGCCATCCAGCACTCCCCCCCCCCTTCCCCCTCGCTTCCTCCTCCTTCGGGCCATCCAGCCCTCCTCCCCCTTCCCCCTCACTTCCTCCTCCCTCGGGCCATCGAGCCCTCCTCCCCCTTCCCCCTCGCTTCCCCCCCGCAGCCCTCCCGCTGCCGTCGCCGTCCCCCTTAGCCGCCGCAGCCCTCCCGCTGCCGCTGCCGTCTCCCTTCGCAGCCGCGGCTCTCCCGCTGCCGCCGCCATCCCCCTTCCGCCGCCGCAGCTCTCCCGCTGCCGCCGCCATCCCCCTTCCGCCGCCGCAACCCTCCCGCTGCCGCCGCCGTTCCCCTTCCGCCGCCGCAGCCCTCCCGCTGCCGCCGCCGTCCCCCTTCGCAGCCGCAGCCCTCCCGCTGCCGTCGCCGTCCCCCTTAGCCGCCGCAGCCCTCTCGCTGCCGCTGCCGTCTCCCTTCGCAGCCGCGGCTCTCCCGCTGCCGCCGCCATCCCCCTTCCACCGCCGCAGCTCTCCCGCTGCCGCCGCCGTCTCCCTTCGCCGCCGCAGCCCTCCCGTTGCCGCTGCCGTCCCCCTTCCGCCGCCGCAGCTCTCCCGCTGCCGCCGCCGTTCCCCTTCCGCCGCCGCAGCTCTCCCGCTGCCACCGCCGTTCCCCTTCCGCCGCCGCAGCCCTCCCGCTGCCGCCGCTGTTCCCCTTCCGCCGCCGCAGCCCTCCCGCTGCCGCCGCCGTCCCCCTTCGCAGCCGCAGCCCTCCCGTTGCCGCTGCCGTCCCCCTTCCGCCGCCGCAGCTCTCCCGCTGCCGCCGCCGTTCCCCTTCCGCCGCCGCAGCTCTCCCGCTGCCGCCGCCGTTCCCCTTCCGCCGCCGCAGCTCTCCCGCTGCCGCCGCCATCCCCCTTCCGCCGCCGCAGCTCTCCCGCTGCCGCCGCCGTCTCCCTTCGCCGCCGCAGCCCTCCCGTTGCCACTGCCGTCCCCCTTCCGCCGCCGCAGCTCTCCCGCTGCCGCCGCCGTTCCCCTTCCGCCGCCGCAGCTCTCCCGCTGCCGCCGCCGTTCCCCTTCCGCCGCCGCAGCTCTCCCGCTGCCGCCGCCGTTCCCCTTCCGCCGCCGCAGCCCTCCCGCTGCCGCCGCCGTCCCCCTTCGCAGCCGCAGCCCTCCCGCTGCCGTCGCCGTCCCCCTTAGCCGCCGCAGCCCTCTCGCTGCCGCTGCCGTCTCCCTTCGCAGCCGCGGCTCTCCTGCTGCCGCCGCCATCCCCCTTCCGCCGCCGCAGCTCTCCCGCTGCCGCCGCCGTTCCCCTTCCGCCGCCGCAGCTCTCCCGCTGCCGCCGCCGTTCCCCTTCCGCCGCCGCAGCCCTCCCGCTGCCGCCGCCGTCCCCCTTCGCAGCCGCAGCCCTCCCGCTGCCGTCGCCGTCCCCCTTAGCCGCCGCAGCCCTCTCGCTGCCGCTGCCGTCTCCCTTCGCAGCCGCGGCTCTCCCGCTGCCGCCGCCATCCCCCTTCCGCCGCCGCAGCTCTCCCGCTGCCGCCGCCGTCTCCCTTCGCCGCCGCAGCCCTCCCGTTGCCGCTGCCGTCCCCCTTCCGCTGCCGCAGCCTTCTCCCTTCTCCTTCACAGCCCTCCTGCTGTCACCGCACGGCACGGCACCTTCGGCTGGCCTGCATCCTCACTTACGACAGGCCCCCCCCCTCCTCCCCCTTCATGCTTCAGGGGTTGTCCCGTCTCTCATTCAAGCCTCCTACCTTTATGCAGGCTAAGGGGTTGTGTTAGAATACCTCTATTCAATTTATCCTGCATATTCTAGTTTGCTTGTCTAGAGTTACGCACCCAAACCTGATTTGGGTGTACAACTGGGGTTTACCCTAGTTGTGGTTTGGTTCCAACCTTGGCCAAAATGTTTGGCCCCCAAAAGTTGGGTTAGAGAATTATTGGAGCCCTATGATTATTGGAGGCTCCAATAATTCCTCCAACCCAATTATTGGTGGGGGCCAATAATCTTGGCCACGCTCCCAACCAACCCCACTCTCCTAGCTCAACTATGTATACCCCTGCTTTTCATTCTAAGATCAATCCTTTCAATTTTCAGTCCTCATCCTTTCACAGGATTCTAACAGCGACCAGAGACACGAACGTGCCACAGATGCGGGCAGACAGGGCATATACGGAGAAACTGCAAGAACTGTGAAGTGTGCGGAAAGCCTGGGCACCGCCGGAAGGACTGCCCGGATACACCAACCTGTGACGAGTGGGGGAACAAGGGGCATGAGGCAAAGGAGTGGTATGAGAAAACAGGGCGGGCAGAGAGATCACCAGAGGAGATTAAGGACCAGATTGAAAAGTTACAAGCTCTACTGCAGGCGCTGAGAGGAAGGACAGAAAGGGAGGTGGGGTTGTACGCGGGGGAGGAAGAGGAGCAGGAAGATGAGGAGCAAGAGCCAGGGTACTCCTGTACGGTACTGCGTAGCCATGTAGTCAAGGGGCCGCGCAGTGGGGGCAGGGGGGGACGAAGAGAGCAAGTAAATAAGGTAGGAGCATGGACGTGTGTGCAAGTAACATCAGCAATGGAGGAGCAGGACGAGCAAATTGTGGCAAAAACGGGTGTATCAGCAGCAGGGGGAGCGGAGGAACGGGACGAGCAGGTGGGGACAGAAGCGTGCGTATCAGCAGCAGCGGGAGCGGAGGAGAAGGACGAGAAGGTGGGGGCAGAAGTGTGTGTATTAGCAGCGGCGGAAGAGGAAGGGAAGAACGAGAAGGTGGGGGAATGGTCGGGTGTACTAGTGGTAGCGGATGTGAAAGGGAAGGAAGGGAAGGTGGGGCCACCGGCGGGCATGCCAGCAGTAGCGGAGGCGGAAAGCAAGGCAGAGAAGGTGAGGACACAGGCGTGCAAACCAGAAGTAGCAGTAGCGGAAGGGAGGGAAGAGAAGGTGAGAGCACAGGTGTGCGTAGCAGCAGCAGCGGAAGCGGAAGTGGAGGATGAAGGGGTAGAGGCACAGGGGTGTGCAGCAACAGCAGCGGAAGAGGAAGGGAAAGAAGAGAAGGTGGGGGCAGGGGTACGTGTACCAGCAGTAGCGGATACGGAAGGAAAGGAGAAGGTGGGGGCAGGGGTATGTGTACCTGCAGCGACGGAAGCAGAAGGGAAGAACGAGAAGGTGGGGGTACAGGCATGCACACCAGCAACAGCGGTAGAGGAAGGGAAGGAAGAGAAGATGGTGGTAATGTCGTGCAAACCAGAAGTGGCAGAAGCAGTAGGGGAGAATGAAGACTTGGGGGCACGGGCGGGTGCACCAGCAGCAGCTGAAGCTAAAGGGAAGAACGAAGAGATGAGGGTCAGGGCAGGTGTATCAGCTGAAATGACGAGCAACTGGTGGCAAGGGGAACTAAGGATAGCAGGGTGGGAGGGTCCAGTGTGGGACACGGCCCAGGAGCGGGAGGAAACAGAGAGGGAGAGCAAAGAATTGGGGGCAAGAGAGTGCCTGCCAGCAAGGGAAGCAGTGGAGCAGACAGTTGGAGATGAGATGAGGCAGGAAGGAAAAGAGGCCCTGCAGACGGTGAGGTGGATTAAGGGAGAAACTTGGGAAGAGGAGCCGATGCCGCAAGCAGCCCAGGTGCTGACAGAGACAGTGGCTAGGCACGAGCAGCCTCTGCAGCCGGGTGGCATAAAGGACAAAGGCAGCGGGGGAAGTGGGATAGGAAGCTTACCTGCAGAGGATGAAGAAAACCACTTTGGAAATGCTGCCAAGCATGACGAGGCAGAAGACGAAGCAGCTGAGGGGATTGGGATTACGGGAGCTGGCGAAGAAAAGAAGAGAACAGAGCGTGGGCCACCAGACCCAACCGGCAGTGCGGCAGAGCAGCCGACTCAGCCTGGAAGTCCTGTGACTCGGGCCCGAGCAGCTCGAGCACGAGCACAGGAGGGGGCAGGTAGTGGCTGAGTATAAAGGAGGGAACAGGGGAGCAGGAACAAGAAGGAAGCGGAGATGAGAGGGAGAGGGCAGTAAAGGGAGAAGGGACAGGAGGAGGTGACAGCGAGAATTCCGACACCCCTCCCAAACCCCCCCTTCCACCCCTCCCCCCACCTCCTCACAATCATGGGGAGAGAAAACACACACACAGAAGCGGCACAACCAGGGAGGGTTAGGAGCAACAGGAGAGGAGGCGAGTGGCGGAAACAAAAAGAAGAGACACGACTCTTGCCTCTGCGCGGCGACTCACTTCACGGCCCCCCCTGCAAGCACCCCCTGGCACGTACCACGCTCCGTCTGCTGCTGTCCCAGTTTTGCGCCACGCCTTCACTTGAGGCGTCCCTGTGCCATTGCTCTCCGCCTTCACGTACCATTGCTCTCCGTCTCACAGGCCACAATGCACACACACACACACGGGGAGAGAGAGGCACACACACATAGGGCGAGGGAGAGATACACACACACAGAAGAGGGTTAGAAGCAGCAGGTGGCGAGTGGTGGACCCGCAAGCAACAGACACGACTCTTGCCTCTGCGCGGCGACACCCTATGACATTTCACGCCCCCCCTGCAAGCACCCCCTGGCACGTACCACGCTCCGTCTGCCGCTTTGACACTCGCCGCTCTGCCCCCTGCACCACGCCTGTGTGCTGCTCCATGTTGCTTTCTTGCTGCTGCGCCAAGCCTTCGCCCCAGGCAGCGCCTGCTGCTGCCCGTGCTCCAGGTTGCTCTGTTGGTGCTGCTGCTGCAGTTGTTGCTCTCGTTGCGTCCACCCCGTGTTGCTGCAGAGAAGAGCAGAGGACAGGAAAGGAGAGGTTTGGGAGCTGAGAAGAGTGGCATGAAAACATGGCAGCACAGCAGCAAAGACTCTGGGGGGAACTGATGGGGAAACTGATGGGGGAACTGATGGGGAAACTGATGGGGGAACTGATGGGGAAACTGATAGGGGAACTGATGGGGGAAACTGATGTGGGAAACTGATGGGAAAATTGATGGGGAAACTGATGGGGAAAGGGAGTGAGTGGATGAGAGGCCGAGCAGAGGCGAGTGGATGAGAGGCCGAGCAGAGGCGAGTGGATGGGAGGCCGAGCAGAGGCAATGGATGAGAGGCCGAGCAGAAGCGAGTGGATGAGAGGCCGAGCAGAAGCGAGTGGATGAGAGGCCGAGCAGAAGCGAGTGGATGAGAGGCCGAGCAGAAGCGAGTGGATGAGAGGCCGAGCAGAAGCGAGTGGATGAGAGGCCGAGCAGAAGCGAGTGGATGAGAGGCCGAGCAGAAGCGAGTGGATGAGAGGCCGAGCAGAAGCGAGTGGATGAGAGGCCGAGCAGAGGCGAGTGGATGAGAGGCCGAGCAGAAGCGAGTGGATGAGAGGCCGAGCAGAAGCGAGTGGATGAGAGGCCGAGCAGAAGCGAGTGGATGAGAGGCCGAGCAGAGGCGAGTGGATGAGAGGCCGAGCAGAGGCGAGTGGATGAGAGGCCGAGCAGAAGCGAGTGGATGAGAGGCCGAGCAGAGGCGAGTGGATGAGAGGCCCAGCAGAGGCGAGTGGATGAGAGGCCGAGCAGAAGCGAGTGGATGAGAGGCAGAGCAGAAGCGAGTGGATGAGAGGCCGAGCAGAGGCGAGTGGATGAGAGGCCGAGCAGAAGCGAGTGGATGAGAGGCCGAGCAGAAGCGAGTGGATGAGAGGCCGAGCAGAAGCGAGTGGATGAGAGGCCGAGCAGAGGCGAGTGGATGAGAGGCCGAGCAGAAGCGAGTGGATGAGAGGCCGAGCAGAAGCGAGTGGATGAGAGGCCGAGCAGAAGCGAGTGGATGAGAGGCCGAGCAGAAGCGAGTGGATGAGAGGCCGAGCAGAAGCGAGTGGATGAGAGGCCGAGCAGAGGCGAGTGGATGAGAGGCCGAGCAGAGGCGAGTGGATGAGAGGCCGAGCAGAAGCGAGTGGATGAGAGGCCGAGCAGAGGCGAGTGGATGAGAGGCCGAGCAGAAGCGAGTGGATGAGAGGCCGAGCAGAAGCGAGTGGATGAGAGGCCGAGCAGAAGCGAGTGGATGAGAGGCCGAGCAGAAGCGAGTGGATGAGAGGCCGAGCAGAAGCGAGTGGATGAGAGGCCGAGCAGAAGCGAGTGGATGAGAGGCCGAGCAGAAGCGAGTGGATGAGAGGCCGAGCAGAAGCGAGTGGATGAGAGGCCGAGCAGAAGCGAGTGGATGAGAGGCCGAGCAGAAGCGAGTGGATGAGAGGCC